AAAACCTAATTCAAATTAATATAAAAAATATATTTTATGTTTTATTACTAATTTACATAACTAAAAAAAAGAGTAAAGGGAAAACAAATTAAAAAATGCAATGGGCTTTAGGTAAATGAGATGTGAGGCCCAAAGGAAAAAAAAAAGATTGTTATTGTTGTAATAAAGAAACAGGCACAGGGGGGTACGGCCAGCAAAGCACGAATGGGCTTAGGGGAAATGTAAACAACAGGCCCAAGTTCTTAAATCTTCATAATTGTTTGATTAGGGGAGAAAATAAATTAGGGTTCTTGGAACCCCTTTGTTCACAGTGGCGCCGTTCTCATCTTCTTCATTCATCCTTTCTAAATTTTTTTGTTGAAATCACTGAATAAAAACACTACCTGTCCCTATTTCCTTTTGCAAACGAAATCACTCTCTTCATCTTTTGTCTCACCATGATTCGTGATTTTTAAAAAACCCTAAGTTCAGATTCGGTCCTAAACCTAAAATAAATGGAATCGGTTCGTCTGATCTTCCTTCCCAACTCTCAGTTGCCGGAGTGCCCCTAATCTCGCCTCCCTAAACGAGTTATAGCGACTTTTCTTGAAAAGGTGAAGGTTCTGTTACTAGTGAAGCTTACGAATTCATAGATTATTGTCTTGTTATGTGTTTTCTGTTAATCAACCTAATGATCTTAGATGCAGAGAAATGTGATTACTAAAAATCCATACCTGTTGGATTTCTTTCTGTGATTTAGAAAGGGAGAGGCGAGACGGTGAGGGAGGCGCTCCTTGGTAGCCAGAGTTGCACGAGGTGAGGAAATGAGGATGGAGGTGTTGGTTTTTTTGAAACTTCGGTAATTTCTTCTATTCTCTGTGTTTGAATGATGGTGATGCTAGCTATGGATCCTTTTGGCTCTGTTACAAGTTTTAGGTTTTGGGGGCTTTTGGTTATGGTTGGTCACTGTGTTTTTTTTGTTTTATGATTCTTGACTGGTTTCTGAGATTTGTGGTTTTGGATCTTTTTTTGATGGTTTAACAGGATTTGTGAGTTTGAAGATGATAACTGTGTTTGAGATTTTGGCTTTTGGAATTTGGTTTTGAGTTACAGGTTTGAGACTTCTGTTGTTGGTTTTTGATGTTTGGCTTTTGGAATTTGGTTTTGTGGATTTCTTACTATTTTGTTTATCAGTTTGAGGCTCGTGTGTTTCAGTTTGAGGCTTGGTGATGTTTCTAGTTTTATGAGTTTGGAGATACTGATTTTTTTGGCTTGATGGTTAACAATTTTTTTTTGTGTTTTGGTTACAGCGTTTGGTATTGTTACAGGTTTTGTTGGTTTGGGATCTAGCTACTGTATGCTGATGAACATGTTGCAGGTTTGGTTGATGGTGGGATGCTTGTGTTTTTGAATACTGGTTTATCAGTATAAATCTTTTATGTTGGTTTTTTGAGGTTTTGGTTTTGTTGACAGTTTGAAAGTTTTGAGACTTTTACAGTTTTTAGACTTGGACAGTTTTGAAAATTGGAGACTTGTTTCAAGTTTTTTGAGTTTGATAAAATGTTTCTATCTTTTTTGCTTGAGAGTTTTGTTTACGTTATATTGGTGTTGCTTCTGTTGAATTCCTATTCAAAATGATGGGAAACCCACCAATTGAATATTTTCAGTATATTGTTCCTATGCCCTTTTTGTTGCAGTTTTATTTTCTAGCAACTTCTATGCAATTTGTGATAGGCAGGGCAGCAGGGCTGTGCATCCCAATAACCTAGGTGACTTCTTTCCTCTCTTCTCTCTCAATGACACTAGGAAAGCAAATTGCTTTTTGCCCCTTTTTTCCAATTCTGAAAGGTTTGCAATGAAAAATGGAAAATGATGAATTATGCTTCTTGAACAAGCTTTTTCTTATTTGACTTAGCTTATTATATTGCCAAATTTCTGCTTTGCTGCCTGCTTTAGCTTATGCTGTTTGTTGTTTGCTATATTGCTGCCTTGTTTTTGTTGTCCAATTTGCGCTGCTGTTTGGTTCAGTTTTGCTATTTGGTTCCATTTTACTGTTTGCTTGGACAGCTTGCTGGCCTTTGTTTGGACAACTTGCTTGCATTTCTTGTTTGGACAACTTGCTTGCGTTTCTCGTTTGGACAACTTGCTTGCATTTATTTTGTTTGGACAACTTTGTGGTATTTTTGTTTCTTCTTTTTGTGAACCTAGAAGGATAACCTTCTTGTGATTTGCAAAAATAGAAAAATAAAATTATGATGAAAAATGGCATTCTGATTCCATTCTTGCAAACCTTAATGATGAATACCTTGTTTTTTGGAAAATTCCTTCTCATGCCCGAATAATTTGTACTAACTTTTTTTCTTTCTTTTGTTTTCATGTGAGCACAATGGATATGACAAAGCAAGGAAGGCAAGAAATCTGTGGCAAGCATGGAGGTATTTGGAGATAGCAAAAGAACTTCAGTCAAACTTAGGCATAGACTAATTCTTCTAGGCCAATCAAGCATTTAGATTTTCTTTGT